TGTCTGCCCTCTCACTCCTTCCCACAAATCAATGCCCATTTTCCCTCCAGGAAAGTAGAGGAGAAGGAGGCAAAAATTTTAAATTAAATGCACAAAAGAGCCACATTCCTTCAAAACTCTTAAGAAACTCCAAGAAAGAGTGCGTTTGGCCCATGAGAAGTGGACATCTTGCTCAATCTAAAGGTTTCCCTTCCAGATCCAAACCAAAACTTGCATATACCACCTGAATGTTCCAAAAATGCAGAACTGCCACTACACTTATCAAACATACACATGTGCTACACTCTACAAACCATAAAAGATTAAATGCTTTGTTTACTAACAGTCTTTTTGATCCAACAGGGCAATGATCTGAAGCTTGACTTCCCTGAGTTACTGCCAGTTCTCATAACCATTTCCTAACCGGCAGCAACAGCTTAGAAACTGCAGAATTTGCTACAGCTTCCAGAAATACACAGAAACATGAAGTGAATCACTTGGTTTGGGTGTGCTCAGCCTCAGTTCCTTTGAGGACCCAAGTGTGAACAGCTTGGTCCCACCAGGAGAGCTGGGAGCACCGAGTCTGGCCCCCCAAAAAACCCCTCAGGGTATAAGAAGATCCCCACTCCTGGGACTCCAGCTGACAGCTCCACCAAGCCTTCCCCACCTCCAGCCCAGCTCTGCCCCACGCAGGTCCCCCTCTAACTCACCCAATCCTACCACGACACACGCTTATTTCCAACACGACCCAAGGCAGACCAGCCCCACACATCTCCTCACCTTCACCCCACACACTCCTCTCCCGGCCTAGGCCTGCACCCAGCCCAGCCCCACACTGCATCCTTCGCTCCCCTCACCTGCGGATGGTGACGGCCCGGAAGAGCGGGTACCACACGGAGAACTGGCAGTGCACCACCTGCTCCTTCTTCATCCTCCCCCTCAACCCGAACCGGCCCGGCTCGCCCTGACCCGCACCGCTTCTACCCCGCTGATCCCGGAAGCTCCTGATCCACCCGGAACCTCTCCCGCTGCTCCCGGCGCTACCCGAGCCGCCATCGCGGGTGCACAGGGTGCCGTCCCGCCTCAGGGGTGCGCACCTTACGGTGTCGTCCGCCCGCGCGTCAGCGGCGCTCTCCTCTCCTCTCCTCGGCTCAGCGGCCGCCGCCTCAGCCTCAGCGTAGACTGGAGCCGGTGCTGCTATCGATCCCGGCTCCCTCAGCAGCCGGGTCGCTCTCCCGGCCTCGTACGGGTGCGTGGCCCGAGCAGGGGGTTCCAGGGTGGCTTTAAGGGAGCGGCGGGTGTTTTTCCCGCCTGGCAGGTTTTGTTTTCCCGCTTTGTATTTGCTTGCTTAAGGTTTTACCTCTCCAGCGTTATAACGGAGCTCTACAACGACGGAGCTGTTTCTCCTCCCCCAGAGCTGCGTTTAGGTTTGTTGCTGTTACGCCCCGTCCTTGGCAGTGTTCGAGGCCAGGTTGGATGGAGCTTGAAGCAACCTGCTCTAGTGGAAGGTGTCCCTGCCCGTGGCAGGGGGTTGGAACTGGAGGAGCTTTAAGGTCCCTTCCAACCCAAACCAGTCTGATTTTTGGGAGAGTCAAGTAATGACTGAATAATACGTTCTTTTTAAGCTGTCGTTTCTTTGCGTGTGTGCCCCTGTGTGGAAGGCTGTGTCGCTTCCGTGCTCTCACCTGTGCCATTTGAAGCTGCCTCTCCAAGCCCTCACGCATCAGTTGTCTGAAGGTTGATAACAATATGGAGAGGACTTTAATCCTCTTCTGCATATGCAAGATGGTCTTTGTTGTTGTTGTCTGTTCTGCAGGACAAGAACCAGTTGGTTTTCTATATTCTATTTGGTGCTGAGAGCATCATCCACACTGTTAAGTACCATGACAAAGGTGAAGCATTGTTTTCCCCACACTTTCCTCCCCTTCTCTCCCATCAACTTCCACTAATTAATTTCTTTTGTTGCTAAAGTCATATCGCTGAACTCCGAGTGCGCTGTTGGTAACAAATTTAAAGTGACTTAGGAGGTTTTAATGATCTTTACCTTCAGCACATGTATCTCAGCATAATGTTAGTTATCTCATGCATAAAGCTCTGCCAGTGTCTCTTTCTGCACGTTCTGGATAAGAAATGATGTATTTTGTTTTATCTTAAGCTTGCTTTAGGGCACCATTGCTGAGTTTATGTTAAACCTGATTGGGTTGTGGAGTTCGGATCAGACAGTAGGTTTTAAAAAGTGATTTATAAAAGCTAATCCCTCTGTCATGACTTGGATGGAGTTTAGGGTAAAGCCCTGGTAGTTTGGCTACACTCTAAGATGATTCACAGGCTGCAAGTTGGCTTAAGATTTTAATTCCTGGGAAGGATAATTTGGAAGCTGTAGAATGGTGGGATCTTTCATTGAAAGGAAACCACTCAGTAAAGTAAAAAGCCATGGGAATAAAGTTATACTTCGAATAAATGGTATGCCCTTTTCTGGTCTGAGTTTGACCCTCACATGAAAGAAATGGAACAAGTAGCCCTGATTTGCCAGCAGAAGAACCTTCCTGCCTGAGGGCTGCAAGATGGGGTCTATTGTGAAACCTGACACAGGGCACTACCTTGCACTGTAGTGTTAATTTTCAGTTGGAGCTAATTTTTGTTTATGCACAAAAAGTGTTGCCACCCTTGACAGTATAACTAATGTGAGGTATCAGAATTGCAGCCTTCATTTAACCAAATGTTTTTTCAGCTTTGTAACAGCAGAAATTCTCACTTCTATTCAGTCTACTAAATTTGGGAAAAATCCCTTTTTTTGGTGGAACTTTTTAAAATGCCACTCATACGTAGAGTTATTGCACCCACTTGTGGAGGAAATCAAAACTACAGGGGCTGCAGGAGGTGAATACCTCACTGTTTTAATTTTAGTGATAATTCAAATCACTGAAGCTGTGTAATATTTTGTTCTTTCCAGTCACAAGCCACCCTTGAATCTGTCCACTGCAGAAGGGAGCTGTGTGGAAAACAACTTCTGCCATGAGAAGGTCCTAGTACGGTTTTGTAACTGATATAGGTAAGTATTAATACTGTCCTACAAACCATTACTATAGCAGCTTGTGGGGTTTAGGGTACAACTGGGGTTAATCCACATTTGAGGAAGATGCACTGATACTTCCAAGCTTGTGTAGAAGGATTAGTATGATCATTGGAGCAGGATTTCCTGCAAGGGGAGACTAAAAGACAAAGATTTCTGCAGCCTGATAAAAAAAGGGAGTTTAACAAAGGTATGGTTTGCTGTCTACTCTCTTGATATGTTTATACTGTCAAACTTTCCAAACAGGAGGTGAATTTGTGGTAAGTAGCTATGTGAGGGGTTTCTGGTTTTAAAGCTGTATACTTTGGGCATCACACAGAGCCTCCTTTGACTCTTTCCTCTGGATGACCAGGAATCTCTTGGAACTGCTATGCTGGGCTGGACTTCTTTTGCATAGGTTTTGTGGAAAGCTTGATCCTGTATTTGAGAGTTACAGCAGGGGACCATGGCCATTGTCCAGCTCTTAAATCCTGAGTGAAGGGAGTTGGAGACTTCGCTGGCTCAAAACCAAATTGGCAATGGCTAACTTAACTAACGTGGCATAGAAATTGAATTGTAAGTGAGGTTCTAGAACAGTTTTTCATACAAATAGTAGTAAGGTAGGTAGTAAACCTACATAGCTATAAGATGGAGCTTCATTGTTTTAAGAAAGGATTATAAAACAGATTTTTGGAAGAACAGAATTGGGTTTAATAGGTCAGGGTTTCTTTTCAGGAATTATGTCACATAAAAACAACCTGAACATTTGACCACTATGACCTGCTTTATACAACAAGACTGTCCTGAGACTTAAAATAGAGCCTGCCCTGTGGACATGCTGAGGAAATGGCATTAAAACATTAAACATTAGTTTGAATCCTGCTGATAACCAGGAATATTTTGTAGGACCTATTCTCTTTAACTACTTTGTGGAATTAAAAGCAAATCTAATAATGTAAGAAAGCTGATTGTTGCTACATGCTCTTAAATGTTTCACAAATGTGGAGTAGATACTACCAGAAAAGGATAAAGATGAAGTAAGAGATGAAAGTGCTATAATTGGGTATGACAGAGGTGGTGGTTACTTGCTTCTAATGCTGTTCATTGCTAGAAACTCTGGTGTGAAGTCATCAGAAAAATTCCTGTTGACTTTATGGCAACTTTACAACCATCAGTGCTAAGAATGATAGATATCTTTAAGATCGGGCCACCTTTCCTGGTGTTTAAACTGGTTTACTTCTTTATACTGTCTTTTTACTTACGATTCATGCTGATTTTCAGGACTTCATGTCAGAGTTTAGCTTCCTTGGAATAAGAGCTTCTGTGCTGAAAGTGCCCCATAGCTCTGCAGTGAGACAGGGGCTAATGGTGAATCTCTAATGCATATATTTTATTGCTTACTGGTGTGGCTTTCAACTACAACTGGATTGAGAGAAGGAGTGGACCATCTGCCTGCAGAGCATTAAGATGCAGGCTGAGGAACAGAGCTGCAGGTGCAGAGCATTGCTTGGGCACGTGGTCAGTTGCCTTTTGCACGGTGTTAGCCACATCGTTCCCAGTAAGCACGACTGACGTGCTGTGGTCACACTAACGCCATGTGCCTCCTAGGCTTGCAACAGAGGTGACTTTTTGACCTTGTTTTTTGGGGAAGGATTGAGTCATTTATGTGTTTGTGATGCATGGAAGGTGGAGGTAGGCTCTAGTCTTGAATCTTTCTCAATAGCAGACAGTTTTTACCACCAAAATCTGTGTATAAGGTTTTTTCCAACTTTGACAGTAGAGTGCGTAGGCTTGTTGTGGCAATGCTGTGTTGACAGAGCACTTCAACCACATCAGGATGAAACAATTTGTTTCCATCAGGATGGATCAGTTTTGCTTTGTGTGTGTCTGACCTTTGAATAGTTAAGCAGGGTGTCTTCAGCCAGCATAGCTGATTGGCAGCTGATTGGACTGTCACAACTATGTAAGTCAGGGATCTGACCCAAACTTCTACTTCTGCTTCGATTTATTTGACTCTGAAACCATCAGGTGGACCTGGAAACTGAACTGACTTGTCATCACACATCCCTAACTTTCTCCAGCAAGTTTTATTTGTTAATTTAGAATGCAGAACCTTTTAACTTTTCTCTGAAAGCAAATATTGACTTTGTTTCATAGTAACCTGGACTTTGATCAGGAGGGAAGAACCTGACATTCCTGAAAATGGCAGCTGAGAAGTCCACAGAAGTTCGAAAAGCTGCTAGACAATTCGTCCTTAAAGAAGAGGTACAACACTTGTCTTTGACACCTTTTGCTTTTAAATAACAATGAGTTGAGACCAATCAAAGTTTTGTGAGTGCAGAGTAAGAAATGCTGTAGATGCTGTGTGTTTGTAAGAATCTGTTCAATAGACAAAACACTTCTTCCTGATGGGCAGAGAGTTTCAAAAAGGTGACATTTCTCTTTGTTGAAATAATCATAATGATTATCAATGGGGAGAGAGGAATCTACAGTGTTGTATTATTTTAAGCTGCTTGGGGGGGGGGGGGAGGCTTTGTTTGTTTCTTCTGTTGTCTGTCCAGGCTGTTTGCACAGTTCAGTAGTAATGCTGATACCTCTCAGAGACTGTACACTCTGAGATCATGATGCTCAGCCTTGGTTTCCATTCCTTCAAGATGAAGAACCACTAAGAGTTGCCTTAACATTGAGGATTGTACCTTCTTTGATGCTTTCTGAAAGGGTCTGAATTTAGATGATTGCTGTTCTAAAGACATTAGTAAGGAGGTAGTAAGAGTTTTGAAATAATATTGTGTGCACATCTTCACAGACTCAGAAGATACTAACGAAGGAATTTGGAGGTAATTCTGGGTGTTTTGTTTATCGGGAGCACCCTAACTTAAACTGCCTCTATTTGTTTCTCTCCTGAGTAAATTCATAGAAGTTAACCCTTGGTGTTAAAGTGGCAACAGCATCATGCTGTTGCTGTAACACAAATGTAGTTTCTTTTATCCAGTGTTCCAGTGTGGAATGAACGCACAGGCTTGTAATTTCTCTAGGTTTCAAGATAAAAAACTTTAGATTTGTGTTGTTGGGATATATTTATGGCTCTTCCCCTGGGGTGGTTGTGTAAGGTGAATATTTCTCAAGCATAAGGGCTTTCATTTTTTTAAGCATCTGGGGTTTTCTATTAAGACCTGTGGTTTTTGCAGGCAACATTTTAATTTTGTCCTTTTTTTTTTCATAATACCTCTTAGTTCCTCTGCTTTGGAATGTTGTACTGCCTGGTGTCATTGGAAGTTTGGAATTAGCCTTTACTGTTTTAAACTATTTAGTTTTTTCAGTCATCCTGTAGGATTAATACAGGAAAGTATTTACTGTGCCTCTGCCAGTGGCCCTTATATTAGAAGTGGTTCTGTAGCTACATGGTCTGATGTTGGAGAATCTTCTTCCAGCAAAGTGGAGCTGATTTTGTTTTATTGTTCCTGTTTCTGGGAGGTCTATTACAGGCCAAAAGCTGTACTTAAGAATACCTGATTAAAACCAGGACATTTTGTTTGATGTTGTTTCTTTTGTACGCATAAAATCTACTTTTATTTTTCTTCTGTCTTTTTGGAATGTGGACAGGTCTCATTGCTTACAGACCAGGGATTTCTTTTTCCTCTTAAGATTCCTGGAGACAATGATGTGGTTCTCATTTCAGCCATTTTCCCATTTCTGCTTGGCAGTAACTTGGGGGGAGGGAATGATCCTCCAGTTCTATTGAACATTGCAGTGATATTGGACCACCTGTAATCTGCCTTTTTGTGTTCTCTGCAATGTTTAAAGACATTCATTAACGCAAAACATTTAGCTGTGTTTATTTCACTGAAGTATATTCCTCTCTTTGGATAACCAATGGAACACGATCTTCTATTTCTCTTTTGGATCTTCCTGTACTCTAGTTCTGCAGTGATTTAAGAGTGAATACAAAGCTATTTAAAATATACCTAAATGCTTCCAAACTGAATTACTTCTTGTCTCTGTAATGAGCAGAATATACTTAATCTCCTTTCTTGCTGTTTTTGTGACCACAAAGCCATCAGAAAGCCCTTTTGAGAACACATAGCTCTCCTTTTCCGTTTCCCATTATGGAGAAATATTATACTTTCCAAAATAAATACAAAACTCCTACATGTAAAGTGCATGTAGCAGGTTTACAACCATGGGAGTGCTACTGTTATTTCAATTGCCTGTCAAACAGTTCTTTGGAAGAACACATTACATGAGTTCAACCAGCTCACTTATAATTTCCTTGATATCTGAATCGCTTCAGATTTGCCTCCTGCTCCCAACTGATGCTGTACTGTGCTTGTGTACCCTAAATAGAGCTGCATCATAGACTACATATTGTTTCTCTACATTCTTTTTTTAGTCGGTGAATCTCTCACTTCAAAGTTCAAGATCTGCATAGCCACACAAGCCCTATTTGCTCCTGTCCTGCACTAGAGCATTTCAGTCTGCCAGCCACATGAATGACCTCTCAGACTTCATTCTTTGCTACAATTTTATGTTGTGGGTTTTTTCCGCACATTCTTATTTCATAGAATCATTGAATCATAGAACAGTTTGGGCTGGAAAGAGCCTTAAAGCTCATCCAGTTCCAACCCCCCTGCCACAGGCAGGGACACCTTCCACTAGAGCAGGTTGCTCCAAGCCCCATCCAACTTGGCCTTGAACACTGCCAGGAATGGAGCAGCCACAGCTTCTGTGGGCAACCTGTGCCAGTGTCTCACCACCTTCACAGTAAGGAATTTCTTTCCTAGTATCTAATCTAAATCTTCCTTCTTTCAGTTTAAAGCCATTCCCACTTGTCCCATCACTACATGCCTGTGTAAAAAGTCCCTCTCCAGCTTTCTAGGAGGTACTGACATACTGAAGTACTGAACTTTAGGCACTGGAGCTGCTCTAAGGTCTCCCCAGAGCCTTCTCCAGGCTGAACCAGACCAGCTCTCTCAGCCTGGCTCCAGAGAGGAGCTGCTCCAACCCTCTGATCATCTTCATGGCCTCCTCTGGACTCACTCCAACAGATCCACGTCCTTGTTATGTTGGGGGCCTCAGAGCTGGACATAGGACTGCATGGGGGGGTCTCACGAAAGCAAAGCAGAGCAGGAGAATCACCTCCCTCAACCTGCTGGTCAGGTTATTTTTGATGAAGCCCAGCATACACTTGACTTTCTGGGCTGCAAGAGCACACTGCTGGTTCATGTTTTGCTTCTCATCAACCAGCACCTCCAAGTTCTTCTCCTCAGGGCTGCTCTTAATCCATTCTCCTCTCAGCCTATCTTTATGCTTGGGATTGCCTTAACCCAGGACATGACTTTGTGCTTGCCCTTGCTGAACTTCATGAGGTTTCCACTTGCTTACCCTTGTTCTGTTGCTGTCAGTAGTGTGTCTCATTAGATAATAGGAAGTGCTTTGCTCATCTTCCTGATTACTTCTGGTTTCTGTAGTCAGATCTATTGCGAACTTGATACAAAATTCTGCAGACAATCCGGTCTGCCCATACCTTCAGCAAAGCTTAAAATACAGGTTACATTGAGTAAATTGCTAGGCTAATACCCAGGGAAAATAAACTCAGCTCAGAAAAGACACTTTATAATAACATCAATGCCAAGCACTCAGTCAGCAGCTCAAAATCCTAAAAGGGCAGGTGTGCATCACTGCTTACAGAAAACAGCAGTTCCACAAGGCCACAGTCTGAGATCACAGCAAGAAGAGTTTCAGAACAATCTGGTTTTCAGTCTTGCATGCTCAGGTAAAGACCATGCTCTCTGATAAGTGGGCACTCATGATCACCAGCATAGCAAAAGTCTGTGCAGACCAGTCACCCTTTTTCAGCTGCAACATGACCTGTGCAGAGGCTTCCTAAAAAGCTGAGGACTTTCCAGTACATAAAATCCCAGTGAATTTATTGAAACTTGCTTATAAAGTCATGTTAAGAAAAGTTACTGGGCTTATTTTCTGTTCCTAGTCAAGAACTTGGAGTAAATGTGTTTTTCTGGGTTAGCTGCAGGAATGTTGTTGCATGTTCCAGCCTGTATTCCACTGCTGAGATTTTTGTCTTCAAGAGAATCCAAAAATAGTGGTGGTGTTTCTCCCCTTAGTTCCCAAGTTGGGATTAATCTTATAACATATTTAATCAAAATTCTGTATTTTAGGTAATTGCAGAAAGGAAATGGTTGAAATTTGAAGAAACAACTTACACTGATCCCTTTGGTAAAACCAGGTAACTGCTTCTCTGGCATCTCAGACTTCTATACTGTTCCCAGTCAACATAGCCCCAGGCTAGAGAACAGGAGCATTCCAAACCTGTTACTCCACGCAAGATGAGAGTTATTCATTCTCCAATAACTTTATAGTTTTTACTGTTCAGAGAAAAATAAACTCTTACTCTAGCAGATATTCTGGCATGTGGCATTGAACTGGGCTCCTAAATCCTGGGCACACTGGATCCTGGTTTACTTGGCATTTCCAGTGCCTTGCAACTGTGCAGAAGCAAGTTGTAGCCACACAACTAGACTAATGTCCAGAGTCTGTCCCATGGGTTTTCTGGTTCTTCACTGAGGCCTCCCTTTTGCCTGCTCATGGTGCTGGATCTTGTGTACTACTGACAAATAACTGTGCTCTCATGTATTATCACACTGTTCAGTCCTTTTGTGTGCTTTAGTTCTGTGTATTTTTCTAGATGTGACAATGTGGCTTTACTTTCCTTTCCTCAATATGTTAGATTCTCTGCTGCTGTCTTTCTCCAGTGCCTCCCAATTCATTCTTTAAAAAATAGCCAAGATTGGAGTGTTTGTGAAAGGATTTTTATTGCTGGTGGATCTAGGGGGTTTACTTATCCCATTGCTTATTTTGAGAGGGAAGCTTTGGTCTTTCCTACATGTGTGCTCTTCATGTGCTCAAGTAACTGAGCTGAGAGCTCACAGTAACTTACACTATAAAAATTACGCAAAAGTAGGATAAAAGATGGAATGCACAGGGTCCTGTTACAAAACTCTTTCAAAATCTGACAAGTGTTATGTATGAATTGCTTTATTTTTGCACTTTTCCAGGATCACTTATACAAGACTTGCTTGTTTTTGACAATCACTCATGTCCTTCCCTTATTTTTAGTGATCTTAAACAGTCATTAATTGTTTTCTCTCTCCCTCTTCAAATAGGCTGAATAAAATTATACTACAGACATTTCAAAGTGCCAGTATATGACAGAGCCTGCCTAAGCCTGACTGCTTTCTTATAGGCCCTCACTGTGTGATAGTGTATTTTGCTTTTAAATGAAAGTATCAAGGGTAGAAGATGACTTACACATCCATTTGTTCTTTCCTCTGTGTTAAACAGAACGTGGGAAACTGTAAAGCGTACTGGCAACAAAAAGGGGATCTCAGCTGATGGTAAGACATTGGTGCTTAGTTTTGTTTGCGTTTTTTCCTGTTAAAGAGCTGACAAACTCATAGGCCTTAGAGCAGCTTCCAGTACTTAAAGGGGCTGACGAGAAAGCTGCAGAGGGGCTTTTTACAAGTGTATGCAGGGACAGGACGAGGGGAAATGGCTTTAAACTGAAAAGGGGACAGATTTAGAGTGTATGTAAGGAGGAAGTTCTTCCCTGTGAGGGTGCTGAGGCGCTGGCAAAGGTTGCCCAGAGAAGCTGTGGCTGCCCCGTCCCTGGCAGTGTTCAAGGCCATGGCAGGGGGCTGGAACTGGATGAGCTTTAAAGTCCCTTCCAACCCAAACCAGTCTGGGATTCAATGAACGGAAGATGGGGAACAAATAGGTCAGCAATGTTTGCTGTACCCTTGAGCTAATTAAATACAGTCTTCAGTGTCGAAGAGCCAGAACCTTACTGGTAGGAGTGTTTTCCCAAGATCATTTTATTCACTTCAGAACAGTGGAGCAATTTCAAAGATGTCCTGGGTGCCCTGGTAGAGAGTAGCTCACAGATTGGTCAGTTGGGTCTGCTGTGAGGGGCTTGGGATACAGTTGTCTCTGGGAGATGATTTAGCCATGAAGGGAGCGTTTAGGGGAGTTCCATACATTGGCTCCCAAACAGTCTGCAGTCAAGAGAGCACACCCCTAAGTACTGGTGGGCTGAGGCTCAGTCTTGTTTGGTACATGTGCCTCTTGTTTGCTCTTTGAAGATCCCATTTTGGGTTTTTGCCTCTCACCATGCCTAACAGAATGAGGTTAAATTCATAGTTCAGGATTCTGGAACAGACATCTAAACGTTTAATGCTCAGAGTAACAGTGCTTGTATTTCTTTCCAGATCTAGCACCAAGTACCTTCTGCTATACACTGTATGTACTTGTGTCTTCTGTGACTGTAGGTGTTGCAGTGATAGCGGTACTACAGAGAACTCTCCACTACGACTGCATTGTCCTCGTGAAACAGTTCAGGCCCCCAATTAATGGCTATTGCTTGGAATTTCCTGCAGGTAAGTGGCTGAAGCATTAAGATGGGTCACAGAAAGCTGACAGTTAAGTGTGTTTAGATGTGCTGGGAGTGTCAATCTCAAGCAGCTCTAACTAGAAAACCATGGTGAGCTCTGTAGCTCAGTGTGCTATTCCCAAACAGGAATATTTGGTGATGAAAGATACAAAATGGGCTCATTTTAGCAGATTGGAGACATTTTGCACAGCAGTCTGGTAGAAGAATACTGCATTTCCCTCCACTCCTTAACAGTCAAAGCATTTGGCTTCTTTCCCTTATGAGGATATAAACTCTTGTTACCTGGGAAGGTAGCAGATAATCAGCCTGGGAAGGCTTCTGTAGACAATCATATGAAGACGTGGACAGCAGCCTGATGAGTCCAGGAACTGGAATCCTGCCTAATGCTTCAGTTTTATCCCTGTGTAAAAGTGTAGTGAGAATGTTTCACCTCTTCCATAAGGCTGGATTCAATCTGGGATGGGTGTTATGGTCAAGTGTGTGCTTTTAATTGTTTCTGTGTGTTATTTATCCCACAGGCCTCATTGAGGAAAATGAGACTGCAGAAAGCGCTGCATTGCGAGAGCTGGAGGAAGAAACAGGGTACAAGGGGGAGGTCACTGAATGTACTCCAGGTCTTTGCTTTGTATTTTATTTCCCACCCAAAGCTAATTCTGCCTTTGACAGATACTCTAAATGTCTAAAATGCTCTAAAAGAAAAAGAGCTGTGCAGGAAAGTCTACACAGATCAGCACAGAGCAGTATCCCATGGCTCGTTGTTGCTGAGTTGCTAGCTGAACTGAAGTGACGGTTTGATGTCTATAGGGGAAAACTTTGCTCTTAACTAAGATCCTTGACAGAAAACCCAATTGTTCAAGCTGTGATTTGGCATTTTAGTATAAAGGTCTAAATTGCTGGACTTAATGTGAACAGCTTTTGTGAACTTAGGTATTAAAAAATAGCTACGTGATGCAGCCTGAGTGGAGGTCACATCATGCCGCTGCGGGGAGGTGACAGCACTCAGGTTCTACAGCCAGAAAGGAGAGACTAATTGGAGTAAATCCAGAGAACCTTTGGAACATGATTGTTGCCAATGCAAAGCAAAATGAAGACAAAATGAGCATCACAAATTAAACTTGAAAAGGTAGAAAGGTGAGGCAGCTTCCCTAGGATTACAAGCAAATGTCATTATAGTTGAGACTTGGCTCTTGATTACCAGGTACAACATGATGGGGACTGATATGGAGACAGGTTGTGGCAAAACCAGACTTGACTGAAGAAGCCTATAAGGAAATTGTAGTTTACAGTTTAATCTGCAGTCTATGGGATGCAAAGTAAACCTAGCTGTGGAAAACAGGTCTTACAAGGGATCTGTAAAAGCACTGAGAGGCACACAAACACTGCTTTTAAAAGCCTGTGAAGACAAACTGTTCACAACCTTTCCAGCCTGAACGTATGTCAAATACGTGTTCTCCTCTTGTATCAGGATGCATTTCTGTGAAAGTTTTTGGTAAAATGTCAAGGTGCCTGACTTGTGCTTTTGACAACTTAACTTCTGCCTGCGCTTGTTGGCAGCTCTCTGCTTGGACCCAGGTTTGTCAAACAGCACCACACACATTGTGAGCGTCACCATTAATGGGGATGAGGCTAAGAACACAAGACCTAAGCAAAAACTGGGTGAGTTTTGTACTGTTTGTTTGAAAATTCAGAGAGGATAACAAAAGAATGGGTTTAAAAGAACTGACCCTACCACTGTAGGGACATCTCTTCTGTCCCAGCTGATGTAGATTCTGGACATCCTTCAAATCATATCCTGCAGCCTGGATATGCAGAGCTGTGTTTCTTTGCTAAATTCCCTGGGAAGACCTCAATGTTCAGTGTCAGGTGTTGTCAAACCCAGAAGGAGAAACCTGGGTGCCACAGTTCAGTGAGGGCCATAAGCCCTTGTGAACCCTGATATTCCTGTTAGTTGTGGCTTGACCTTGGAAATCACTACAGTGTCACTCACAGTCAGCTATCAGAATGCTTTTTAGTTGTAAGCTCTGTGTATGTCAAACCCCTTAACTTACTCCTTTTTACTTTCCTTGCAGATGATGGAGGTATGTTGGGTAACTGCTCCCACTGACAGCAAGGTTGAGAGTGAGCTACATATGGCAAGTTTTATGGAGAACGTCAGTTAAAACTGGTTCTTATTTGGGCTTTGTTATCTCCTGGCCCTAATAAAACATGAATGAGACTGACTTTGGCCTAGACATGGAACATTATTGCATCAGTTCTCTCAAGCATTGCACCTAAAGCACCAGTATCTCAGAACATACAAATGACTAAATCCACAGTAGGTGTAGATGAAGCCCCAAAGACAATGAATTCAGGTGGACAGGGGAGGTGTAAGTCAACGCATATTTATCAAGAGCAAAATCTTTGTGCTGTTTTAGTCTTCAAATGCATCTATAATCCATTACTGTACCTGTATAAATCAAACGAGTCCATTTCAGTGTATTTTCCATTTCTAGAAGGGAGAAGGTCTTGTTTTGGAAGGGTTCTGACCCCCCATGGCTGTCAGCTGCACTGTTTTTCCCAGTTTCTTTCTGTCTGACCTGTTTTTTAATGACCCCAGTCCCGGACTTCCCGCATTTAATTGGCCTTTTGGCGATATGTGTGCAGGCTCAGCAGCTTTTGGATGACAATGAGCATTAAGTCAGTTGTTTTTCCCCTTTTAAACGGTAAGAAACAGGACACTGAGGTAACTTCCTTTACTGTTTGCAGATTTAAAGGTGTGTAACACTTTTGTTCTCTCCTAGAATTTGTGGAAGTTATTTCACTTCCAAAGAACGACCTACTGCAAAGAATTGATGGTAAGAGCTTGCTGACATGCTAAATGCACATTGAGAAAGCCTTAGCTTCCCTCCTCATGGCCTTTCTCATCCAAGAAACCTCTGTCTTAAAAAGCCGTGAGAGGCTCAGCAAGGGAAGAGTTAGTGACAGCATCAGGTGCTGGCATGAAGAGTTAAAGTCTTGAATGCTGCTCAGCTTCGTTGTAGTGCAGGACTTGCATTTGTATAGAGGAGGAGTTTAAACAATCTCATAATTGTATTTTTCTTTCTTTCCAGAGCTGGTGGCAGAAGAACACCTGGCAGTGGATGCCAGGGTTTACACCTATGCACTGGCCCTCAAGCGTGCGGCAGAAAAACCGCTCCAAGTCCCTTTTATGAAGTGAGAAATGTGGTTGGAAACTGCCCTGTTCAGATGGCTCAGAAGGTTTAACTTTCCTTGTAATAGAGGTCATTTGCTTTACTTGTAGAGCAAAAGTATTTGTAGGAATAACCCTGGTATTTTTATCTGGAATTATGTAACTAACAAAAAGTGTCCCTTTAACTGCTCAGGCTGTCAGGCCTTGACTGAATAATGGAAATAAAAGTGCTGTTTAATTTTCAGAGCAGCTCATCCCTCACTGTGTTTGTCAGTGCAGTGTAAGGAAGATGCTCAAGTGACTGTGGTTGGTGTTGTACCAAAGCCTGTTAACTCAAGGTGGGTGCAGAACAGTGTCCATCTTCCTCATCTCTCATCCACACACACCAGTAGCATCAGCAAAACAGCCATCAGTGATTCCTCCACGACAGGAGCAGCAGCATGGGGACACAGGGACACACTCTGGCTGCTGTGTTTGAAACTGCCTTTTATGCTTTAGACCTGAGGGGGTTGCTTCCTTGTCCCAGTTGTAACTAAAGTATCCAGAAAATTGGTTGGTTTAGCTGCAAAAATCACAGCTGTGGCACCAACACAACATCCCAGGGTCCATAACCCAGCCAGGGAATTCTGTCTGAGGCATGAACTTACATGCCTGGCACCCCTATATGTCACACACACATGTCCCCAGGCTGCCTATTCCCTCACTCCCATTACTTGCGGGTGAATCTTCAGTGCATCTGTGTACAGCTGACTGCTTCCAGTTACACAAACAACCACCACTGCTTAAAGGTTAGGATCTAAGTGCTGTAACAAACATATCCTCATATCAAAGTCTTGTTCTGAAATGAATTTGGGTGAGCATGCATAACTGGGAAGACTTTCCTGCCTTACAAATGAAGCAGAAAACTTGCTTAAGATTTTCCTGTCATAACAAACAGCAAAGTTACTTTCAAGTTAAGTATGAGAGAAGACAGAAGAAATCAAAACATCAAATCAAAGGGAAAAAGGAATTAGTTACAGCCAAGTGGAAAAGCTCAAAGATTTGAAGGGAAGAAATCTTGAGGCTTTAATTAAAACTGCTAAAAACTGATCAGAATTATATTCTAGAACAAGGATGAGGAAGAAAAAAGGAGCCTTCCAGCCCCCCCCCCACTAACAAAGCATGTTAGAAAAGATCAGACCCTGCAGCTGAATTCCATCTCACACAGATGAGACAGGAGAGAGCTTAATTAAATAAGTTTATTGTCTAACGTTTACAGTTGTACATTGCCGCTGTAAAGCGCGACAAAGGTCTGCAGCAGGAACTCCTCATTCTCCCTTTCCCTCCCCTGAACAGTGCTTGAGGAACCAGGCCTTGTTCTTTAAACTCACAGAAGCAAAGTGGACATGAAGTTTTAGTGGCACAGCTCGCGCAAGTACAGGTTGAAATGGAACAGCGGGGCTCACTTCCCAGTGGGACAGCAGCTGCCACCACACTGTCCCCCCCACAGCAGGGCAAGATCCCAATGCCCTGGGCCCTGCGATGCAGCAACCCCCGCCCCAGAACCAGCTCCCCGGTGAGATGTGTATCAGTCTCTAGTAAAACACAATTGTCCACCCTTAGAGCTAAGAGAGAGGTGCTTGAGTGGAGACAGCGCAAAAGACGGAGTGCCCAGTTTACTGATGGGGAAATGCAAGTTAAAAAAGTATAAAAAACTAACATAAAATACAAGCTCCAGATACATTTTATCACGTGGCAGTTAATTTTGAATTCAGATTTTTCTCCTCTTAAGGACAGGGAAATAAAGTTAAAATTTTAATGCTGTGTGCAAAAAGTGTTTACTGACACCAAACTGATACATTTGAGCATCTCACTGCAGCGTTTGGACAGCAAGGTAGATGAACTGGTTTCCAGCATCACAGGCAACACTAGATAAACAAGATAGATAATGTAAACTGGATTCTTAAGGCAGCCGGTACTAACGCTGCTCACAGGCGTTGCTCGGTGCCCATTGCAGGAATGGGCCACACAGCACTTGAAAACAAGTCAAAAGAAAATAGCATTGTTGGATTAAATGATGCATGTTGTCAAAATACTTTCCCTTTCCACACAAACCATGAAATATTTGGACATCTAGAAAAATAACGCACCTACTCCTCCAACCTCAGCCTGTTCTTTTACAAATATTTCAAAGTACTGATAAATAATAGTGACTGCCAGCAGAATGCCAGTGCCTGAGCCAATGGCACCCAGGAAGTCAGCCAATACTGAAAGGGCACCAATGCACAATCCACCAAATGCAGCAGCTGTAGGGATATACCTGCACCACAGGGAAAGAGAAAAGAAAGTATTCAGCATCATGAATCTTCACCCAAGGGCTCAAACAATGCATCTGCTACTATAGTAATCAACTGGAGCATTGAGTGACAAAAGTTGAGGGAGGGGATTCTCCTCTTCTCCTCTACCCCCCCTGCAGTCCTGCGTCCAGCTCTGAGGCCCCCAACATAATAAGAATGTGGAGCTGCTGTTGCAAGTCAAGAGGAGGCTGTGAAGAGGCTGCGAGGGCTGGAGCAGCTCTGCTCTGGAGCCAGGCTGAGAGAGCTGGGCTGGTTCAGCCTGGACAAGAGAAGGCTCCTCAAGGGGAGACCTTAGAGCAGCTCCAGTGCCTAAAGGGGACTGATACAGACTCAAGAGAGAGGCTGTTTACAAGTGCATGCAGAAACAGGACAAGGAAGAATGGCTTCAAACTGCCAGGAGAGATTTAGATTAGACATTAGAAGAAATTCTTCCCTGTGAGGGTGCTGAGGCGCTAGCACGGGGTGCCCAGAGAAGCTGTGGCTGCCCCATCCCTGACAGTACTCAAGGCCAGGTTGGACACAGGGGCTTGGAGCAACCTGCTCAAGTGTAAGGTGTCCCTGTCTGTGGCAGGGGGGCTGGAACTGGATGAGCTTTAAGGTCCCTTTCAGATGAAACCATTCTATGTTCTATGCAATTCAGCATTGCAAATGGGACTCTGCCATGAGCTGTCTTCTGTATTTGTACAAAGTAGAGACTAAAATAGATATTCACCAAGAGGAAAGCTGTGTGAACTGAACACTGGCAAAGCTTTTCACTGCACAGGATAGCACACGTGTACGGAGAATTGCTATCTAACTTCCACAGGAGCAGGATTAACTGCTCTGACTGAAACAAAGGGATACATCTACCTTTCCATACAGACCAGCAGGCTGTGTGTACTGCATAAAATACCACTTTATAGCATCAGCTGAGTTCAGGAATGGTAAATTAAACACCTGTAAAACCCAAGGAATCTTCCTTGTACAAACACAGCAGAGGTTTTGGCCAAATTCCCTCATTATGCCACTTACACAAGAGGCGCTACAGGTAAACCTTTTATCTACTGCTATAAATGCCTTCTGTGTTACCAGAACAGCTGAAAGGGAAGAACCTGGACATGTTCAGTGGAAAGAGGTCTCCAACGTTTCCAAGAACACCTGCTCTAGCTGACAGGACCTCAAGCACCCTGTTGGAAGTCACCATTTTCTTACCTGTTCAGCTCATGAACCATTGAAGTGTCCCTGTGGCCTCTCATCACCATCTGCTGCTCTTTGAGTTGCTTGGCAACCTGCAAAAAAGAGAGTTTTATGGAACTGCTGCAGTGTTTCATAGTCACCTGATATTTAGTCAGAGGAGTAACTGATGAGTGATTAGCCAGGCAGGTCTAAACAAAGACATCTAGGCAGGTTTATCACAACACCTACGTCCTTCGCTGATGAGCCAGACACCTCAATCCAAGTCTTGGAGAAGAACGCGCAGGATCCCAACATAAATATGATATAAACTATGACATGGACAGGATCCTCAAATATTGCACCCATGGATTCAGGGGGAGACAAGTAGTAGCAGAGGCCACCAACAGGGTAAGAGCGAGCAGGGCCACCACCACTGACGTCCTGTGAGAGGGGAAGAAAAAGGAAATAAGTTATTTTGCCAAGAAAGGTTGGAATAAATGATCCTTGAGGTCATTCCAAGCTGGTATTCTATGAGATTCCTCACAGACCTCTGACATTGCTATCATGGAATGGTTTGGGTTGGAAGGGACCTTAAAGCTCATCCAGTTCCAACCCCTGCCACAGGCAGGGACACCTTCCACTAGAGCAGGTTGCTCCAAGCCCTGTCCAACCTGGCCTTCAACACTGCCAGGTATGGGGCAGCCACAGCTTCTCTGGGCACCTTGTGCCAGTGCCTCAGCACCCTCACAGGAAAGAGCTTCTTCCAGATATCTAATCTGAATCTCCCCTCTGTCAGTTTAAAGTACTATCCTGTATTTCCACAAGAATTCCTCTTCAGAGTTTAAAAGAGCTTTTATATACGAGTGTTCAAAAGTACTTGCTTAAGTACTTTTCAAAAGTACTGCTTAAATATCAGTTTCACAATGAAGTAATACGTACAAACAGTTAATTTTAAGTGGTAAAATACTTACTGCCCACTGTCCTAGTAAATTCACCAAGAAGTTGCCACTAAAACGAACAGACAACATCTGGGAAATGACATAGAGGTTTGAAACTAAGGCAGACTGCAGAATGATGGGAATGTT